AATAGGGGACGATGGTTGACCGGTGGTATTTGATAGATGATGCTTAGAAAATTGCGAGAAATATCCTCGTTCATGCCACTGGAATGACTAATTCCTGAATAAATCTCGAATATTAGACTTTTACATTGATATTTTTGTCCTTCTGAGTGAACGCTAACGAATGCCATCGCCAAACGTGACTTAACTCTGCAGCTAAAAGAAAATTCGAGCTGTTCCTAGGAATTGAATCTGGTGTCTTTCGGAAGTTAGGCCGACAAATATTTCCTCAGCGGTGATACTCCAACTTGTTCTTTACGTTAAAGTTGTTTTGCCAGTATGTGTTTATGTATTTTCACTCTCGGATGTAATAAACAAAAATGCAAATATAAAACTTTTAATTGCCAAACAAACACTTTGAGCTGAATATTAACTCCTTTTCTATTATTTTTTCCTCTTCAGCTTCTATTTACCTAATATGAGAAGAATAAAGACTTTGATAAAAAGTCTAGTTCTTTTTCTGTCGAAAGTACCGTACTCTTCTTTTATTCGTACTACACTCTTTGAAACGACTGATTTTTCGTTTTGAAATTTTCAGCGTGTTTCGTCTCGCTTCCGTCCGTCTGGCGTTCCAAGTGAAACGGTCTCTCACGGCGAGCTCACCGCGTCGACCCGTCCGTCTGTTCGTCATACCCTTCTGATTCAAGGTTGATATCATACCTTCATCTTCATTTTCGATCGCTGACCGGAAGCGGCACGCACAAGCATCAGCCGTATGCCGGGATACTACACATTCTACTCTGGTGCCGAGCTGTTGAGACCTTTAGCGCTACGGTTCGGCTTCGAGCTTGATAAGGTACTATTGTCTTTGGCTTAACAAAGTTAAACGACTGCAGTATGAAACTGACTGGACCTGCTTTCTGGATTCTGTTTGTTGTAGTTCATTTATAAAGGTGTTATTGAAACTAAGCTACAGTTGGTGTAGGTGGTAGAACATAGTACACACATTAAAAATAGTGATACCGGATTGAAACGGCGAAAATGCACAATGTAAAGAAAGAAAACTATTTCTAACTTTACACCAGCAGCTTCATTACACTACCCCGTTGTTTCTAGACGTCTGGGGGGAGGGGGCATTTAAGCAAGCCACGGCTTTATGGTATTTAAGCGTAAGCAGTCCATAGGACGCAGGAACGCGGCTCAAACTTAGGTTGAACAAATGTATATACAACCAACGAACATTTCAGCGATCCGTAGGCGAACGATTGACAAAATATAACTCCGATGTTCTGGAGGGAGCTTTCGATACCGCCGTTGAATATATCGCGTTAAAAATAATGATACCGGATTGTTCTTTGGTTGAATATACTTTTGTTCAACCCGAGTTTCAGACGCGGCCCGGCGTCCTATGCACTGCAGGCGCTTAAATGCCATGGAGCCGAGACCTGCTTAAATGGTTCCCCTGGGTGTCTAGAAGCAAGAAGATAATTCAGTCGAGATGCTGGTGTAAAGTGAAAAATAGACTTTTCTTTCTCTACACTTGCATTTTCGCCATTCCAATCTAGTATTATTTTTAATGGGATATATTCATCGGTGGTATCGGAAACTCCCTCAGAACATTGAGGTTATATTTTATTTGTGGTACATAGTGTTTTGCGTTTTCTTACTTTTATGTTCACTGATTACTGCAGTGTATCACAGTGTCAGCAAAGATGGCCACATCCAAAATACTTCATAAGAGCTGCACTGTGACAACGTACAGTCATTGAAAGTTAACAAAATTAGGCTCTTTTCGGATTCGGAACTGGCTCGGTGAAAATATGAACTGAGAACTACGTAGACATTTTGTTTCAAACTAATAACATTTTGGAATATAAAGTCTTTATCGCCAAAATCTTGTAAGGCTTTACTCCGTATATACATTTTATTAAACAAAATCCCAGGTTTCGGATCGATCTGGATGGGATGCATCTTTAGGGAACATTGTCACTGCTGAGATTGCTTTTGCACTTGTCGTTTTATGACGTCCCCTGAAGATGGATCCAGCTCTATGTGAAATGCAAGAATTTTCTTCAAAAAGCGTATATGCAGAGTGAACCCTTTGAAAAGTTTGCAATGAATTCTGCTTTGCACACCTATAAAGAATTCAGATAATCTCGTTTAAAAATAAGAAATAGCGGAAAACCATATCAGAAGAACAACGACCTGTAAAAACGGCATGAGGCTGCATGAGATAACCAGAGCGTGAATAAAAAATGAGAACGTTAGTGAAATCGATTCATGCGGCGGATCTCTCGTAAAGGGTAGAGGGTAGAAGTTCGCTGTTATACTTATAATTCTTTTCCTGAGAAACTTTGCAGTTGTAATAACTGATACTAGTAGTTTTCCAAGGACCTGAACATAGAATACGGTAGTACTTTTGTATATTACGTAGCTGTCGTTTCACTGGTCAACTGTTTTTGTGCAGTTTGTTTATTTTAGTTTTAACTTTATGTTACTGGTTTACTGCAGTTATGTTTTGATTTATGCTGAAAAGTAAGATTTTTTACAGTCTAGTTTATATGTAGATTGTCTTATTCTGCAGCTCCTTTTTCTCAAAAAGCCTTAGGGTGAATTGCGGCTGGTGACAGCTTCGCGATATCAGTGTTTTAGCATTTTATTGGCTGGATCAGTAGCTTGCTCGTTTTGATTAATGTTTCAGCAATAGGCAGTCGGTTTTCATATGCTTTCCCAGCAACATCAATGCTAAACACGAGCACTGTAACAACTGGTGGAATTAAGACATTCACTCTTAAAGTATATTCAGTTAGCAGTGGTTTATTAAAATATGCACAGCATCGTTAGGTTCAGCGAAGTACTGTCAATAGACTTTTGTGTATAAATGAGTTCGTCACGTTTCAGTTTCACTGTGTTTAGTTTCGCTTCTGCGGTAAATTCTGTGATGTTATAGGTAAATTTCGTATTCTGTCAGTTTCTGTCGTTGCCGGCGGCCCTTCTTTACTACCGGTTCCGTTCATCGCGATGGGAAACCAAGTGGATTCGTCTGCTGCTGCCTGCGTTGCTGGGACTTTACTTTTGCTTCTTCTGTTACGGCCGGTAGGTGAAGCGTTCGGTCTCAGTGAACAGGATTGCATGCAGATGCGCACACAACAGAATGTATTTCTTGTATAATATAGCTATCGACCGTGACCCGAAAGGAGAAACGGTGATGGAAGATGGTGACGAAGATATGGCAATCGATAGCTTTCATATGTATTATTTTCTGTTCAAAGTTTAGACGGGGTTATTAAAAGTTTCATCTTACGCGTTCTGTAAATAAATACGAATTGAACTTAAAATCTTAAAATTTCCTCTGCGTTAGGACAGTCTATCTCCAATGGAGATTTATGTCTAAGGCAGGAAGATGATTTCTCTACGCCTCTTTTTCGTTTCTTCATGAATCAGCCTTTTCGAAGTTCATGTTAATTTTAACAGCTGTCGTAGGAGATAGAAAGAATGTTCTCCACTCTTTTCTTCATTTCATAGATCCCATAGATTGATCATAATCCGATCTCTACGGCACCCGAACAACGTTTGATTTATGGAATGCTGTTTTTGCTCTTGCAAGACCGCATACGGCGTCTTCGCTTGTTCAGATTCAAAAAGCGATTTACTGGAGCTGTACAAGTAGATGCAGTTCAGTTATTTGCAAATGCAAAACAGAAGTGTCGAAATTTCACTATGTTTAATAAGTAAGTCTATTCTTGCCTTCATTAGCGGTAAAGTATGTCAGTCGCCCCAGTCTTTCCTCCTGGGTTTAAAGTGAGAGCATTCGTT